ATAACTCACACTATCTAACCAGATTTTAATAAATACGGTTTTTGACTTGGTTAAACTAAACGCTAATTTCATCTAAGAAACTTAGTACTTTTAAAGAATACATATTTGCAAAAATAACAAATATTTCTAAATTATTTATGTATTTTTGTGTATGAATAGTCTTTTAAGCCAAAGTTATCGATATGGTATTCGTCTAAAAATTTAATTAGATTAATTCCTTGGAAACATATAAACTTACAAAAATGTTAGAGCCATTGGAATGCATAAGAAAAATACTTTAGATTAACTAATTTAGTCAGATATATTATTTAATACAGACACGTCTTGTGTGTAATAACTTAGCTAAACGTGCAAGCTTCATTGCCATTTCGGCGTTTTGTAAATGATTAAAATTTATCGCAATACTGGGTAACGGAATTTTCCTTACCTGAATAAGATTTTGGCAAACCAAGTTCGACATTTGAATATAATCAGACACATTAGTGGGACACTTTGAGACCAAAGGTTGCATGTTCAATTATCCTTAACAGGTAATGGCGAAAAATCAGGAATGAGCCTGAAAACCAAAACGCTTAGAATGCTTGAAATTAACTACAGCACCCTTGAAATGTCAGTTATGGACAACATAATTTTTCTTATTTTGTATGAATTTTATTGAAAAATTATTTAATATAACAGACTGTGAAATAATGTCACCTAAAGCTCATCCAGGTAGTACGTTACATGAAAATTCGTTCTTATTTTAAAGCTTAAATTAACTTTGCTGGAAGAGAAAGCAGATATTTATTTGTTTTCATTAAATCAACGTAGCATAAAATATTACATTCAGCTCGTATTTTACCTAGGCTTACAGCATTTATTCAAACAGTTTGCCTTCAGAAAGCCCTCAATAAAAGCTTCGTCATTTCATCAAAGTTGAAATGTTACTGGTTAATGTAAAGAGGTTTTAGCTAAAATAGATTGTAAACTAGTCTAATTCAGATAGCATGCGCTGGAAATAACTTATATTTTGGACGTCAAAAGTGGGCGATAGACACACCTCCACGTGGTGCACCCTGGGCAACGTAAACTCATACGGCAAAAAGGTCTATAAATCAACACTTAACTTCTGACTTCAAACTACCATCACCCCACCGTATATCATATTCGACTACTTTCACAGTACTAACCTCACCTTTTTTCAACCTTTTCTACCTTCGACTTTGAAACACTCTTCTGTCTCCCCCCTCTCGACTTTTTTTCACTTTGATGTTCCTTCCCCTCTGTGAAGCCTGAAGTCAACTAAAAAGCTAATGATAACCATCAAAACGCCTGCTATTTGATATAAATAAATAAATAAATAAGTTCAATCGCCATCGTTCCACAGCCAATTGTCCACATAAGCGAAAGCCTTTTGACTCTGATTAGCTATTCGAATAGTAGACTATAAGTTGCTCATCAAAACTGCTCTCCAATACATTCCATCCACTTATTACAATTGTTAACTTCATTTTAAAATCAACGAAATAAAAAAATTCAGATCTATTCTTGCCTTAAGTTCATCGAAATGTAAAAGACAGCACGTCGAAATCAATTGAAATCTGATTTTTTCTGTTGAAAGCTGGTTAAATGATACTCCATAAAAGATTGAATTCACATAAGCGCCTTGATTATGCTGCTAAATGGAAAACACATGGTAATACAAATGTAATATTTCATGGGCATGGCTGGTTGTCAAGATCCTTAGCTTTTGAACATCGAGGACTGCGAAGCACTTCAATCTATGCCATTTATATAA